TTTACAATATTTAATATTGCTGTGGAGCATACTGAAACTGACTTTGTTTTTCTTCCGTGCAGGGCATTCACTTTTTCTTACTAAAAGTTTAGTAATTTCAGGGGATTACAAGTAGTTAAACATATTGTATAATTTTTAATCTTGGAACCCAGGACATCCTTTTGAACTTGTTATACATACCTGTAAATAAACTAATTAGTGCCATTATTCATTAATTTCAAATGGTGCTAGTAGGTACAGCAGAACTTTTCCAGGGAACAACCTGGTAATTAGTGGGATGAATTAATTTCATTGCAGATATGTACAAATGCAGAATGTACAGCATAGTAGTTAAGCACGTAGCTTCTGTAGCCATATTTTCTGTTCAACCACTGCTTAGCTATCTAACATTAAGCAAATTAATTATGTTCTCCATGTCTCAGCTAACCACTCATAAGATTACAATGATAACAACATGGGGTAATAATAAAGACTGACACAATATATGTAAATTGTCTAAGAACATAGTAGGTATTCAAGAAATGTTTATTATTGTTGTTATTATTATTATCTTGAGATAGAGTCTGCCTCTTTCACCCAGGCTGGAGAGCAATGGTGCAGTCTTGGCTCACTGCAATCTCCACCTTCAAAGCTCAAACAATTCTCCTGCCTCTGCCTCCCTTTAGTTGGGACTACAGGCGTGTGCCACCATGCCCAGATAATTTTGTACTTTTTCTAAAGGGGGATTTTACCGTGTTGCCCCGGCTGGTCTTGAACTCCTGTATCAAGTGATCTGCCTGCCTCAGCCTCCCAAAGTGCTGGGATTACAGGTGTGAACCAGTGTGCCCGAAAGAAGTGTTTATTATTATCAGCATTTTAATAATTAGATTCTGACATTAGGCTTAAATATCTTTTTCTATTCCATTTTTTCCATTATTTACTTCACTAACATTGATGTTCTGCATGATTAATCCACAGTACCTGTTCTGTATATTTATTATTCTTACTCCAAGAGATTTTAATCTATGCAATATTTTCCTCTACATTTGGCATGATTTACTACAGGCTGAACCCTGTGTTACTGTCTTGATTCTTTTGGCCAAATTGATTAATTATCTTTCTTACTGTTTTAGATTGATTTATTAGTTTCTATAAGTATTGCTTTGACTTCATTTTTCCTCTTTTAATCTCTTCTTGTTTATCATCTCATTCTTGATCTTTGGTTTCGAATATTCTTTCAATTTTGGTGAGAAAATACTTAGTTACAGGAAATTTTAATTTATCTTGAAATATACTTTCTATATATAGACACACTTTGTGAATACTTTTTTACACTTTTTAAATATTTTGAAATGTCCTTTTTTTTTTTTTTGAGATGGAGTCCTGCTCTGTCATCCAGGCTGGAGTGCAGTGGCTTTATACTTTTTACATATACTTTTAAAATATAAATATGCTTTGTAAATACATTTTTATACTTTTTTAATATCTTCAAATATGCTTTTTTTTTTGAAACAGAGTCTTGCTCTGTCATCCAGGCTGGAGTGCAGCGACACGATCTTGCCTCACTGCAACCTCCGCCCCCTGGGTTCAAGCATTCTCCTGCCTCAGCCTCCATAGTAGCTGGGACTACAGGCATGAGCCACAGTGCCCGGCTGAAATATACTTTTTTTAAATATCAGTGTCATTGTCTGTCTTTTGCATGTTGAGATCTTCTCCTTGCCTTCCCCATGTAATAGTTTTCTCGCACAATTTTCATGCTGTTTGTTTGTTTAGATGCTTCATCTTGATGGAGACATTGCTTCTGGGTTTTCTCATGTGTTCAGTTACAACTTGGGTAGATTTCTTTTGATACTACTTGCACTAATTACTGGACCTAGTTATGCATCTCTGAATCTTTGCAGAGTCTCAGTTTGAGCTGAATGTTGACAGTTTTTATTTTGTTTTTCTATTGTCATTTTATTATTGATGGCTTTTGGAAAGAGAGAATAGAGACTACACATGGGATTTTGGATTTTCTCTCTCCTCTTCTCCAGCACTTATCACAATTGGACCAAATTAAACATGTTTTCTGTTTCTTCCTCATTTGTGGGGTGCAAGGTAATTGTGTGCATATACACTGTGTGTGTGTTTGTATGTATGTGTGTGTACTGCCACACTCTCAGATGGCTATTAGGTATGTAAACTACCAGAGAACCTTTCTAGGGAAGAACCTAACAATATATATCACCACTTTAGAAGCATATAACTTTGAACCTAGCAAATCCATTTTAAGAAATATATCAGGAATAATGATGTATAAGCCTGTCAGCAATGTGATGTTTATTTTACAGTTATTTATAATGGAAAATAGAAACAATGCAAACATGTAACAATAGGTGCTCATTGAATATATGTTAAATAAATTATGGCACACACATTCAATTACATATCTTGTATGTATTAGAAATGCTGTATACTTATACTTAAAGACATGAAAAGGTAAGTGGAAAATAACTATACAGTATACAGAAGAGTAGAATATGATTTTCATATAAAAATATGTCACTAAGTGTGAATAAAATGCAATGTTGATAATAATTATATCTTTGTGGAAGTGTGCAGTTGGTTTTAACTATTTTTTCTGTATACTTTTAAGAATGACTACGAATTTGTTTTATAATCAGAAAACTAGCTATAGAACTAAATAAAGAAAAGCCGAGAAAGATGCACAATTCCTACCACCAACTCCAGAATAATTACAACTATTAGTTGAATGTCCTTTGTCTGGTACTACAGAAGACCCTTAATATAATTATCTTGCTTATTCTTCTCAGCAGTTCCATAAGACAGAAATTAGTGTTTTTAATTTTCAGTTAAAGAATTAAAGCTTGGAAAGGTTAAACATGTCTAATGTCACATAGCTTATAAACCACAATGCCTGAATGTGAACCCAGTTCATACAACTATAAAATCCACCAATCTTCCCAGTACCTTTTGCAACTGTGACGTGTATCTTGATGCTTTTAAAGGTTACAAGTTTAATAGAAAGCTTGTTATTGGAACTTCCAAATACTAGACCTTATTTCAAACTCTAAGTGTGAACTTAAAAGAGGACTGAAAGGACAGCATAGAGACATATCCAAGATAAAAAAGTATAAAAACGGCCGGGCGCGGTGGCTCAAGCCTGTAATCCCAGCACTTTGGGAGGCCGAGGCGGGTGGATCACGAGGTCAAGAGATCGAGACTATCCTGGTCAACACGGTGAAACCCCGTCTCTACCAAAAATACAAAAAATTAGCTGGGCATGGTGGTGCGTGCCTGTAATCCCAGCTACTCAGGAGGCTGAGGCAGGAGAATTGCCTGAACCCAGGAGGCGGAGGTTGCGGTGAGCCGAGA